AGCTGTACCATACGACAAGAAGGATGAGTACGCTTCAGCAAAGCTGACATTAAATGATGACAATCCGTCAATACAGTTCGATCTTCATTGAATGTCTGAATGAAATGAGGTCGTGTCATGTAAAAATAATGCGTTGACTTCGAAATCGTCCTAGTCAATCATTAAACTTGGAATTCATAATAATGATTGAATTATATTTGTAGACAGTAACCGACGGAGAAACCTCAACTCATTTTACAATACCGAGAAAATACGTTGTACCAAAATAGAGTGGTTCACTCCTACTCGTTTTATTATTGGCCTAAATCAGTTGAAATTGTTATACAGTCGAGATATTTCTTTAAGGAAGAGTAGACTTCAGACACTGTGATAGGATATAATCCTTGATAAGTTCAGTCGATATGATACACAGTGTGGCTGAATTATTAACAACTGGACGACGTTTCGGGAACAATTCGCCTCTCATAATCATATCAATGTATTCACACGACTTCGCGAAAATTTGTTGACTAAAGGATCTGACAGATCCAATTAAGAAAAATAATATAATTTACCAAATACCATGTAATGACTGTGAGGCCACTTGCATAGGTCAAACTAGTAGATCCGCGGTCAGTCAGATTTTCAGAACATAAGAATTTGGCTAGACCTCGAATGACTGAACCTGCTAAATTAGATAATCTAGAAAGTCTCATCCGTTACAACACATTCACTTTTATCTAACCACACAATAGGGTAAGATAGGTTAAAAATATATGAAAGTAATGCAATTAGGAGGAGACAGCGACTGTTCTCTGAATCTTTTTTCATCGCCTCAACACCAAACACTTGCAATCAAAGTGATACAACACGTATGCCGGATATGGGGAAAATTGCAATGGAAAAACAGCAGGGATTTAAGCTGTATATAAACCAGGTTAAGGGGTTGGGTGAATGCACAATGAGCCATAAATTACACTCTAAACATCATCATCATCATCCGGTTGTTGATCGTACATCACTGTGTATTACATCAAATAAATTGATCTAATTGAGTGCAATCGCTGTCAAATTTTTTATGACATTTAATATTCTTTCATCCTTTTTTTTCTTGCTTTAGACTTTCAGAATTTCTGACTGATGCCATGGAACGGGTTATCTGTTTACAAATGGTCTATAGACGAATGAGTGCAAGGTAATAAACACTTTCGAGTTTAACTGATTATAAATGCCCATTAAAATTTTCAAAAGAATGGATACTGAACAAAGAGTACTCTTTTCGATAACTTCATCATCAGGCTCTACGGTTATATATACATTATAGTGAATGCATGAATTAGTGTTATGAACAACATTGAAACAATAGTACCAGTAGATTACAGTTCACTAGCATCAAAATAACAATACACACTGAATGTCAGAAAAATTGGGAAAGATAATATTACAAATTCATGAATTTGTAATGGTTGGACTTACTTCTTTTACACACAAAGCAATGATGATTTCACGCGAATTGCGATAGTCTCTGTTGCTTGGAGCATGTGGTACTTCACTGTTATTGGCAGTTTATTTAGCACCCGGTAGATGATAGAGAAGGACTCCTGTTTCTTTCATTATTTCGGGAGGACAGAAACCATCTGTTGTCTTTCGAGTGGAACAGGGGGCCTCAAGTTTCGCGGCCACTTCTATTACAATGTTGTTTTTTTACGGGTGGTAGAGTTGCTAACCTCAGGCTCAACCTTTTCCCTTTTCCAGGCCTATTATAGCCTATTAACTTGGGTGAGGATTAGGAATGCGTCAGCAGGGAATCGAACCCCCCCCCCCGAGTCAAGTGTGTGGTTGGCGATAATGCTACCACTATAAACTACCGTCGCACCATCACATGTTATCAAACACCATGATTTCGTGTCGTTATTCTGTTTTCTTTTTTTCATTTTCTCTTTGTCTTTATTTCAATGCACTCAGTCAGTTATCACAAATAAAAGTTTTACTATTGTTATTGTTATTTTTGGATAAAGCAAACAGCTGGATTACTTCATTATTTTTTTTAATTTATTGATGGACCTTTGTTTCTCTTATGGAATGATTCAAAATTGTCCACATGTCATATGTGTTCTGCACAATAACAACAACAACTTACACCACTAGCTTTTACTGGCTTATATTCATCTTTGTTTCGTTAACTGGCGACTGACTGACTGTGCTTATTTTGTTCACGGTCTAAGTATTATTATTTTTCCTTTGATGGTGACGAACCATAACAATTCAGATGGTGTGGTGTTTTTTTAATACATTTTGGAGACTGTATGATTATGGACTCTCGAAGACACTGGGATATAATCGTTTAAACAAACTTCTGTCATCGGCCTGTCTCGCCTTCTCATATATGTAGACTCAGGCAGAACACAGAAATCTTTCATATTCCTTGTATAGAAGATTTAGATAGTAGTAGTACTGAAATGAAAACACTGGTCGAACTGACGTTGAAAACTTAGGTAACAATGGCTTGCCTAAATCATTTGGTTAAGTCACGTAGCATTTTATTCGACATAATGCGTCAGAATTCACTCCATTTCACTTGAATTCTTTAATTGTAATCATGTGCATTTTCTAATTAGTTTTGAACCTATTGTGTATGAGTGTATTGTTTTTTTTTGAGTGCTCTTCACATGGAATTATTATGAAATGAAACAATGTACTAGACATATTATCTCTACAAGAAGTGAAAATACCTTGCATGTTGAGAAATCTGCAGTAAAATAAAGCTACTCTTTACCACGGGTACCATTGTTATCACGTCTTCACAGTATATAAACTACTCTTCTGTTGGGTACAGAGTTATAAAAACAAATTCGCTAAAAGGAGTATCAAGGAAGCATATTAATTTGACAGTGATCATAAGGCGTCACGCTATTTATTGTTGAGCTTAATTCATGTGAGAGAATGCCTAATACAAAATTGTATATTTCAGCGCATAGACTACTTACTTGATCAAATCATCAGTCAACAAACAGCGCATTTAAGTAATTTCAGTATATGTTAAGTGAAGTACAGTACCGAAAAGTTGTGTTATCCTCTTTTACTAGTCACATGTCCCAATCTTCTACAGTATTATGATTTTAATTACAGTTGCGCGTCAACTGAGGTGCATGTGTATATAGTAGGGGGGGAGGGAGTAGTGGTTCGTGTTATGTACAACATGTGGTGTAAATTTCTCAGTTTAGAGTAGTATTGTTAACTTCGATGCTTATTCTCTATCAAAAATCTGTATTACTCCTGACTGTATTCGCTTAAAGCTACTGAAAATTCCACTTCATGTATTTATGTGATGTGAAATGGAGAGTGATACAGTGTGTTTTAGGTATTCTGTACCGTTTTATGATAGCACTGGCTGATATGAGTAGCTGGTAGCCACTCAAGTTAAACAGCAATGTTTGCTACTCATAACACTCTTTAGTATATGTGACCACATAGTTAAGCTTGCTATTTTGACTGCTATTTATGCTGTCGAGCAGATGTGAGTATCTTTATTCATGTTTAATCCCCATCCAGGCATTAATGAGAACAAAACACGTAGATCAGCGAAGAGTGTCTTTTCGGCGAATTCATTTTCTTAGCGGTACAATCACAAACATATATGTGTTATTTTGTATGTATGTGTACATTAAGTTTATCAAACAAAAATACGATTAGTTATATTTATTTAAACTAAACAAGTGAAGATTGGTAATTGGAGTTACGCGTGATACAAAATCAGTCAAGAAAATTAGGTGTTAATGAAATTAGGGTAGTAACAAAGGTGATGAGTCTTCACAAACAGTTGTTAAAAGAAGTTATGTAATAATATGAATAGTTTGATGAGTGAGTTTTACTCAGGATGCACATAGTAACAAAGTAGATAATACGAAATTACGTAAGAGTTGTAAATGAATACAAGAATTATAAGCAATTAAAGAACAGGCAAAGAAGCAAAATTAAGTCATCAAAATAAAAAAAATCAAATCAAAAAAGTTGTTGCCAAGACAGTAGAAGTTGTTGAGTAATCCTCTTTTGTATGCACAGCTCCGGTTTTTCTATGTGAATTGCCAGAGCTTCAGCGATACAAAGAAAGCGAAACCGTATTGCCTTTGATAGGTTGTTCTTGAATCTGTAGATTACTTTGAAGGAGGCGTTTGTTGAAATGGAATGATCAGTGTTAACCAGATGTCCAATTATCGCACTCCTTATTGCACCACTATTGCCTTTTTGCAACCATGCTGGATAGTGTTCTTGAATCCTCTTGGAAAGGGTGCGCGTCGAACGACCGATGTACCTGGTTCCACAGCAGCAGGTGAACTGATATATGTACATAGAAGTGGTCATATGCAGGATCTCGTCCTTGAGACTTCTGCAGATCAGTGGGTGACTGGAGGACGCTATTCTTAGTGTTGCTGTAAAGAATGTTCTTCTCAGAGATGATGTGATCCTTCTCTTGAGAATATCCCTTGCTAAGTCTCCCTTGAAATCCACGTTCATGTAGAGTTTCTTTTTTGGCGCAAGTAGAGTTTCATTTCTCCGAATTCTTGCTTTGATATTTTTGTCGATAAATCTCATTGAGTATCCATTTTGGATGAAAATTTCTCTTAAAATATCTAATTCTGTCTCCAGAGCGTCGAGACTGCAGATGCGTCTGATTGTATTTTTGTTTGATAAACTTAGTGTACACATACATACAAAATAACACATATATATTTCCGATTGTACAGCTAAGAAAATGAATTCTCCGAAAAGAGACTCTTCGCTGATCTACGTGTTTTGTTTTCATTAATATCTTTATTCCCACGGGAAATGATGATAAATTCTCACCTCGAAGTGTTTAGCTTGATTCTGTGTATTATTGTTGTTGTACTGGTAACTTTTTGTAGATTAAATTCACAAGGTATAAGTTATAGACTCTCAGATACTACTTCTTAAAATCTATCCGACTTATTATTAATTATTATTATCTCCTTCTTTCTTTCTTTCTTTCCGAAATTGTACAGATTTCGACATACTCTGGAGTATTTAGGCTACAGTCCAGCAAGAGCATCCAGTACTTCAGTTGGCTATTTCTGTCGTATTCTAGCTGAATTCGCCCTGGAATATAGAACAACACGAGAGAAGATAATTGAAGGCCGTGAGAAGAAGGCGTTGGCACGAGAACGTAAACGTACAAGAGGAAAGTTGATAGTTGATGTAAGTTAACCGATAAATATTTATTGCTTTGAAAGTGGGATTTTCAAGCATCATAGTGGAAATAAGTGACTTTTATTGATTATAACATTCATTAGGGATTAGATGAATTCCTGCATAATGCCTACTGGGAATGATCACAAAGGAATTTATCGGTATTCACCATTACTCTGTGTAAGATGAAATTACGATGAAATTACTCTTCACCACTACACACTCATAACGCAACTGGAGGTCGAACCCAGTTATGAGACGAGCACCTGGACGGTAGCAAATGGACTATGAGTTCCAACTTCTGCCGGTTGGCCAAATATAGTGTTATATATAGTGGATAGCTTAATGTATAAGCTTAAAAAAAATGATTTAAAGCAAGGTGTCTTTTGACTATTTTTGTTAGTTAAATATATTACTGATTTAACGGTATAAGTCACTGTCATCTTCAGTTGCTGTTTACACTAGACCGATGAGTGTTCTGATGCCTGGTTTATGTAGGTTAATTTCTGTGACACAACGGAAATCAGCTGAGAAATCTTTTAAAAGGCAGGATCACTTAACAACTGCTCTGTTTCTGGTTTGTCTACTTGCAGCACTTTATTAGATATTCAGCCATTAACAGTCACACTTAGAAGTGTTAGTACTAGTTGTAAAACTGAGTTATTACATTCCCATTCACACAGTTCAAAGGTGAAACAAAAAAGACTTTTCAGAAGTTACTCGTTTGGTGGCTAGCAATGGAATCTAGGGCGTGCATTTTGTTGTGTTTGGGGCTCAACATCTGGATTTAGTTATTACCCAGTGGATAACAGTATTCTCTACTTAGATTGGAAATCAGTTCCCATTGCTTTCAACTCACAATAGAGAGGAGGTTCACCTATGAATCCCAAATCGGAAGCGACATCTACTGTTCATCCCAGTGCTAGCCACTAGGAAACATGTACTTGTAATCTGGAAATCAAATTAATGCCGAAGCATTTGTTAAAAGAGCTCAATAGATAGATCCCTTTGCTCAAAGAGAAAGAGAGAAGAGTTGCTAACCAGACCCTGATCTTAACTGGTTCTCTAGTTAGTTAACCCCAGTTCATGATTTAAACTACTCTGAAACCAGTTAATTTCTGACAAATAATGACAGGTGGTGGTCAGTCTGATTGCTTTTACTGTCACTTTGTACATGATGATATGCTGTGGTATATTGCCTATAAATCGATTATATATTTATTGATTATTTATATAGTTAAATACTATAATGGAATTACAACAGGAGGTGGTTGTTGATAATCGAACAGTAAGCAAATATAGTAACAATATAATATACACAAACAACACTACACACTCATACACACGCACTGTGAACATTTACTCAAAAACACTTAATATATATTATACATTAAAAATATTTGTTTGTATGTTTGTGTCTTCACGCTAAATCTCTTTTTCGCTTTCGGATGGCTAATTTTAACTTGTGTTTTCTTCATTAAAACGCTCTATATATTAACCTTTGATTTAATCTGTTTTGTCGCCATTTTGTCTTTTCTCACTATATAACTAACTGCACTAGACTTTGAACTGCATCGTTTTAAACTAGGACATCGGTAACATTGAATACTGTTCCCGCGTTTATAATACTCGTCTCATATTTATATATTTATCAGTGGTCGAAAGTAATGTTCAAGATGTGTCCTTCGTCCTACTCAGGGATTCATCAACTGAATGTACCTGTTTCTTCATGAGTGGTGGATGGTGTTACAACTGAGGTTTAAACCTAAATTTTAGGATGTCAGAGCGTTATCCTCTAGCATCTTCGAAGTCAGAATAACCATACCCTACTCAACAGGTGTTCTATTATTAATTCGTGCTTATCTCAACGTTTCTGAATAAGCCATCCAAGTTTGTTTGGAAAAGCTAAACATCACTTACTTACTTCAATTAGTTATGCTGTTCTGACTGAGACCCGAGTCCACCACCGATATTTTCAAACGCCATAAAGAGTTATCCACTAAGCAATATTGAAGCCAACTCTTCTGAAACGCAAAAAGACTTGTTATTTGTTGAAATAATTATTTCTGAATTCCCGCATAGGTATCTGCTGGAGGTACTTAAATAACGGACGAAACTTGTGTCCTGCATTCCACTATTAGCTGTTCGCTTAACTACCTTGTATAAAATGCCAGCCTGAACAATTTCCTAGTTTTCTGAGACTGACCACAGCTTTCAAATGACTCCACTGGAGACATTAAAAGGCTACAAGGTGCTTTTTTCTGACAGAATTTTTAGAAGAAAAACAAACACTGTGATTAGGTATACATACTGTGAGGCAGAAGAATAAATATATATCTGTCTTAACAGATTAAGGTGAATAGGGCAAGGGTTGCGTGCATCACCCGACTGCTGCTGCATTTAGCTGAATTTAATGATATTCAGATTCAGAACAAATAACTCTTACACACATATAGTCTCCTTGATTGGCAACATAAAACAATATCGTCATTTATATTTCACGGGTTCTTATCAGCTGCAGACTACACGAAACTACAATGCTTATAAGACATTGAAAACAAGTCAAGAGAACCATAGTTAATAAGATTGAATTCAGCTCAGTCACCTGGGATCAGTTAAATGGATAATTACGTTGATTGCATAACAGTTGTGATTTTCACATTTCGGATATCCTAGTTTATAAAGTCTTCTCTTCTACCGTTCCATTACTGAAGGATGTTATTTTCATTCTTTTATAGCTACTTTAGTTTCATGTAGTCTGCAGATGATGGGAACCTGTGAGATACAATGATGTTTTTCTGTAATGCTTTGAGGAAATTACACAGTTGTTTGTTCCGAACTATATGGGATTCTCTAAGTGTTAACAATCAATAGTTCGCCAAACATTTAGTATTATGTACCGAAATCGATCACATAGTTGTTTATCTATTCAGTTTTATCATCGGAATTCTTATCACTGTTGCTAACTATTATTTAGTTGTTTTTTGTTCGCTTCTCACATTAATTTCTTATGGTCTGCTTGTTACAGTACCACTCAGTGTCTATTCATTTTTCACTTTTGATGTTGTTTGGAAACAAGACAACTTCAAGTGTAGTACTTCTGTGTGACAATAGGTATTCATTCCAACATGTGCGGCGGTTTGATTAACTAACTCAACACAACTTGACACATGATATAGATTACTCCTCAGTGACTTGAAGGAAGTCGATCGTTAGCCTGAATGACTAACTGATAACGACCCTGACTGCAAAACTAGATGATACGGGTGTGAATCTCAGATAATGACATCGGTTCCTTCCTTTCTCATGAGTCTCAGTAAGTGCAAGACCGAAATCTAGGATTTCCTGACGATTCCCTCCAATCATCTAATAACAAAAATTCACAGGGCGCCGTGATGGCGAGCCATCTAGAATGCTAGCTACATTGTAAACTTGACTGGTAGAATTCAGTCTGCACCAAACAAAGGACTAGATACACTACGCTAGTTACTGACCAGTGTGCAATCAAAGATTACCTGTAACTGTCTAATATCAATTCACGGTGTTCCGTGCTGATGAACCACTTAGCTTGCTGACCATTGCCACTGGTAAAATTCAATCAGCATCAACACGAAGGATCAGTCAAATGATATTGGTCAATCATACAGAATTTTTATAAAATGAACAATTAACTTGGTACGTAGTGTGTTGCAGAGAAAAAGGCATAGTTGTTAGTTTTGAGGATAGAAATTGAAGTGGTCGAATGGATTGAGAAACTCATTTATTTGTGAGAAATTGATTCATCCGTAGGATATCTCAGTGCAGAGATAAAAGGCTTTTTTAACATTAGATAACTTCCACTACGTTTGGTGTCAGTGGTTCAATCGTAGAATACTTACCAACCATGCACTTGGTCCGACACGACCTGTACGCACTCCTAAACGTCGCTTGGCCAGTAGTAGTCCCGGTAAAGGGGGAAGGTCACGCTTGAGGCCAGCAACCCTACCTCCTAAAAACTATACACCACTACTACTGAAACTTCAAAGCTGAATCTTGAAGCCCTATTTTCCACCCGGAACGCTAAGGAACAAAATAATAAATACTTTCTTTGGTGTCGGCTAGATACTGTTTCACCCACTCAACTGTCAGCATTCTTCTCTTTTGACATGGAGGTATAAGTGCTGAAAGCAGAAGACTACAAGAATCTACATAGAATTGTTCACGTGTTTAGGAAACACTTGATAGGCAGCATCTGAACCTGAGTTGTTCTTATTACATAGTTGGGGCGATCGACACGAACCCTTAGATCTAGGTTTCGCACTTATTGGCACTCATCAGCAAGATGCACCTGCTATGTTAGAGGAATTCATGTCCTTTGTGAAATTTGAATAGGTCTCACCCAGTGCTGCAGTTAGAGACGTTATCACTGAGCTACTCGGGCTCGCCATTGACCTCATGTAGGACTGTATTGGATACTTTCTTCTATGGGATACTAAGCAGGAATTAGTGTGAAGCGTCTAGTATGTTTGGTTCAGACTGAATTATATCAGTCAGTTTTGCTATGTGGCCACTATGCTAGACAGAATTCAGTCTACACCAAACAAAGGAATACATACATTACACTAGTTCTTACTTAATGTCCAATCAAATGTCAAAGTTATACATAAGGAGGTTGAATCCGGTGGTTGGGTAGTGAATCTTTATCCTTTGGACTGATTGCGACATCTAGCACATGTCATAACAGTACTAAGAAAGAGTAAGGGATGATTTGACCAAAGCATGGTACCAAACACTCATTCACTGTCGTTTTGTCGCAATGGAGGTGGTGGGAAGGGCAGTAAACTGCCTTACTTGTGTCCTCGTGATGGTCAGAATCATGGATTAGGAACTTTCTCGTCAAATGGCCGATAACTGCACACATTACGTACTCACTTTTCAATTTTTCACTATTTTCACTTATTCTCTTACTCATACATATGACTCCACTGAGGTAACATTGTTTTTTTTTAACCTTTTTTGTCTTATATATTCTATGGTGTTTTGATGTGTGAGCACACCTGAGTTGCGTAATATGTTCACTGTGATCTAAATCAGTCAGTCATAAATGTTATTTTGCAGTCATTATGCTTTTACCTAATTAACTGTGAATAATGCTCACTACCTTATTATAACTGCAGCAAATTTAACCGAAATCAAATTCACCATTTACAATTTTTCACAGTTCAAGGTGAAATTTTAGCCATAGTTTTTCCCTTAAAAACCGAAACTATTCAGGTCATGGCTATACGTGGTCTGCTTGATACTATAAATGGCAATGAAGAAAGCAAGTACAACTACACAACGTTATACACTACTGGTTGTTTGATATGAGTAGGTGGATACCCTGCATATCAACCAGTAATGCTTGCCAGTCAGTTTCTCTTCGGAGTGTGCAATTGGAGGACTAATTCGCGAATTGCAGATTTAATTCAATGTATTATCAGTTTGCACAAGTAGATAGCCAGAATTCGAGTGGTTTGAATTGCCTGTCTGCTTTAAAATGAGTGAAACCGGCCACACCTCTGATCATCCTGGTCCAAAACGAGCGAAACTGACATCCGGTGGTTTAGGTCACTTCGACCTGCCTAGCAAACACTGCTGCTTGATGTGGATAGTAATCAGTTGCTCATATAATAAGTCAATCAGTATATGAGAGATTCATGCGAGACAGTCGATGTTAGTCAGATATTTGCTTTACTTCGACCGCAACTACAAATCCATCCCAAACAGTATGCTTACTAACGAAATGCTATACAAACTGGTTCCTAGATAATCTTACCTTTAACTTTCAACGTGCCCCTGTCCTTGTAACTTACTGGGATTATGACTGATACCGCGATATTTAGCTGAGTGACTAGTATGGTGATAAATGAACAGGTATAATATATGATGGCTGCAGCGAATTGATAACGTAGTCAACAGTCAGGTCTCATAGCTTAAGTGGTATATGCTCAGACTGCTAATCACTAGGACACCTGGTCGCACACTTTTAACTGTGTCTACGTTTAAACTTTACTTTGCCCAGTAAAAAGATTTTTCTCATACCCTGGCAACTAGTCATTGTTTTTGGTTCATTCATTTGTCTTGTGCTGTGTTGATATATCCTTATAGCTAACCTAAACCATAACTTCTCAAATTCTAATTTGTCAGATCAAAAAAAAGTCTTTATGTCACTTTTTTTTTGTATTTTGTCTCATATTTCATGTGTATATTATAAGTGTTCATGTTTGGTCATACACTGTCACTGTAAATTAATTTCCTTAACCATTTGGTGGTTTCTGTTTTTACACCATATTTATAATTTCAAATGTTCAACTCCGATGTATAAAATTTATGAAGTTTTAAAGCTGAAGTCATTGTGTCCAAATGTCAGTGTGTGTATGTGTGTTGTTGTGATTGGTGTTGATATGCTTGTTGTGTATGTGACCAATCGGTGGTAATGTGTGCTATTTTCATGCCTTTTCGTTTCGTTTCATTGCATCTTTAGTCGTATCAACAAATACCGGAATTAAAAGTTTATTACTCTCTGTTTTCAAAGTTGAACTTGATTATTTCTTAAGTATTGGTTTGTGGTTACAGAACCACTGAAAACCAGGAAGTACTGGGCAACTGTTTCGTCTTAACGTGGGACTCTTCAGCGTTGCCTATCCATGTCGGAACCGACAGTCGAACCAAGTGTATTACATCCGTCATATTAAATTGTAATATACTCACTGTTTTTCTTTTTATAAAGTAAAACAGTATTATGCTCTAATAAGTTTACACAAAGAGAACAACATTTCTGTTGTCAACATAGCGTAGCAAGTGATGGAGGCTTGAATCATGGTGGAAACAAGAATTCCCTTCCAATATACGATATAGAATAACAATATATGGTGTTACGGAATGATATTATGTCAGCTGTTTACAAGCGATTGGCAAGAAGCTGTGAATCTAGTTAGGCCAAGTACTTATCGGTACTCATCAACAGGGCACATCCGCAGCCTAGCCTCTAAGGAAACCATTCCACCCCCCCCCTGGGGTTCGAATCGTGATCATGCAGTGTTCTGAAGTTGGAGACGTTTTCACTGAGTCATATAGCTTCAAGATTAGCTTCCTGTTTGACTGTAATAAATGGGTTGATTGGACATTAAAGTGATGTATCTCATAATCAGTGTTCCTGCTGCAATATATACACAATGTCAAGCGTTAAATCACTTGACCGACATGACTCAATTAATGATTCGTATTAGACCTATATGCATAATGTTTGGTTTACCTTCGTGGATGACCAAATACAGAGAACAAAATGTTTCTTTCTTTTTTTGTCGATGTTATTTTTGGGAATTCAAAAGAACCTTATTTTAACCAAGCTTATTTCTGTTATAACAATAGTCTGAAGAATTAGCTTGAAAAGACTATTTTACTGGAGGTATCAATTGCTTCTAAGTTGCAGGTATGCCTTACTGATGGGTGCAAATATGTGCAACATCTAGACCCATTACTTTCTACTGATCACATCCAACCACCTATTGCCTTCTCTGTTTGCGTCTCAATGGACTTGAAAATGATGCTCATGAGATAGGCACTTTAGTGGTATTTAAAACACACTAGAACATCTCTTCTTGTGTACATAAAATAAAACCTGCCTAGAGAACACCTAGACAAAAAAAGTTACATTCCTTAACCACAACTTTCTGTATCATGGTCAAATATTTTCACTGGATAAATAGTAGGGATGGGGTATTAGGTTTTAACGACTGCTGATCCCTGCATATAGTAATGACTAGAATTCAGACATATTTAAAGATGAGTATTTATCGACCGATACTAATAAAACTCATTACCAGTCGTAAGCCACTTGCATAAACATGCTTTTAAATGACTCTCGCATACTTAAATTTCCTCTTATCAACTATATTTTCTAGGTACCCGGTATACGTGGTGCACCAAATGATCTTGTACAGTCGAAGGATGATGCAGAACTACGTGATCTACTCCTGCGGCCAGCAAATGAAACAGACTCTGATACCTCCTCATTCACAGCGACTATAAGACGACGTCTACATACACCTGGACCAGGTAGGTTATATGTATTTCATGTCTGTTTATTTATTCGATTGTTTGTGCCGGTGTTTTTGATGTTCTTCAAAACGAGAACTTGAAATATTCCACTGGCTAAGGGAAGATTTATCCTACCCTAAATTTTGTTTCATTTCGTTTTTTTCGGCTGTTAACATTGAGTAGTGCTGCTTTTGTGTGAGAGGTTAAGGGTTAGCATAGCTTTTCTAATAATCTATAGCACAAAGATAGAATTTATACTCTCATAGTTGCTTTTAATGAGTAAGTATTAATTCTTTATTTGTTATCTCAGTCTCCATTATGTCAGTGTTCAATATATCCGCCAATCAGATTGTAATTAAAAAATAACACAGTGAATATAATATCCTTCATAAAGGTTTTGTACATTTGACAGGTTCGCATACCTTTTGAGCCAGCTGATTATTATTAAGCCTTAAAAGTGGTGTAATTCTACCCTATTACTCAGTTGTTAGTTTACTATTCATTTAAGGTAGATCAGTCTGATGAATTCAGTCCGGATATTTATCAATCTAGGGGATCACAAGTATGGATAAATAACTTTAAGTCATAACCGTTGCACAATTTTAGTGGTTTTCGTCATCCAGTTACCTAATGAATCACATACTGTGACATTCGACAGGATGCGTGCTGGCCCATAGTCTCACTAGGAACAGCATCACCTGTTTTGGATTCCACTGCTAGCCAGCCACTATCGCACAAATAACAAAAGAAAAACACTTTACTGATTTTTTCATAGTAAATAATTGTTGGTATTTTTATAGAATCTTTTTACCGAACTCTCAGTAGTTATCCAGAACTTTCATACGGCAGACAGTGTCTATTCTCCTACATCATATGCTTAAAGTGCTATTTGAAAAGTCGATAACCTCAACTGAGTTATTTTTGTGCAAGGTGTTGCTTAATGTGCCAGCAGATGACCTAGTTATATACTGAATAGTGAAGTCTGTGAAAAACTGACTAGTCTAACCAGTGTAAACCGCTGATTGAAATACATTTAGTGGAGAGAAAGTCGTGTTGATTGCTAGTTTCTGCTAACTTAACTACAGTTACTACGGTTCATGGTAATGTCGATATCTGCATTTTTGGATTCCATATGTTCAAATAAGCAGATTCATTTGGTCATAATTACAAATTATTATTATTATTGTCCCCTTGGGTTCCTAGTGGAATATAGGGCTTCAAATGCACGCCTCCACTTGCTTCTGTCTTCTACTGTACTTTTCACCTCCATCCATGTTAGTTCATACTGTTTCAAATTCTTTTCACACGATCTCCTCCATGTCACCCTTGTACGTCCCACTCGCCGCTTCCCTTTCAGGTTCCACTCGAGCTATGGCCTGACGCGCGATGTTACCCAGTGGCCTCCTCAGCGAGTGTCCAATCCATCTCCACTTTCTCCTGCATATTTGTTGGGCGATTGGTTCTTGTTTTGTTTCTTCCCATAGTTTCTTGTTTGTGATTCTTTCCGGCCATCTCATCTTCAGTATAGAACGAAGACAGCTGTTGATAAAGGTCTGCAACAGGCTGTTGGAACTATTCTTTGTGACCCGCCGCCAAGTTTTTGATCCGTATAGAAGAACTGAATGACTTGACGTTTGTATTGAAAATCGGAATTTTGTTGTTGATGCAGGCTGAGTGACGAAGATTTCCATTCATGTTGATGAATGTGTTTGTCGCCTTCCCAATTCTCGATTTGACATGCTCGTCCGTTCCTCCTTTAGTTGAGACAATGTTGCCTAGTTAAGTGAATGAAGTAACCTCTTTCAAATCCCTCCCGTTGATGGTGATTGGTGCTGGATGTTGCTGCTGCTGTTGTTGTAGTTGGTTGGTTATTTTCATAACCTCCGTCTTGTCTATGTTCACCTGGAGTCCTGTCTCCTCTGGCTGCTTCTTCGACCAGTTTGTCGGTTTTCGCTTGTAAGTCTTCGATTTTGTGTGGCATTAAACATAAGTCATCCGCGAAATCCAGGTCTTATAATTACAAATAAATAACCAAAATAATGGCCGTTTCGAAACAAATGTTTGCCATTGTCCAGTGCTATTATGAATATCACCTTAGCTTTTGAGACAACTACTTCTGTGTTCGTGTAGCAGTGAGTAAAGTATGACCCATGGAAGCGGATGCATCCGATCGACGAGTCATACTCCAAGTCATCAGGAAACACGTATTATTACATCTTTTGAAATGCGATAAGTGAATAAGTAGGCCAGGAAAACTACAGTCATTGTTGAAGACTTATTCAAGAAATGATAATAATATTAATAATAATGGCTTTACTCCAAACAGTACTTCTGATACAATTTGGAATCTTCAGCATGTAATGTAATACTTCATCTAATTTCCGCTTTATACAACATAGTACTCGCGGAAATAATTAAGAGAACACTTACATTGAAAGCGCAATACTAATATGAATATTAATGTAATATTAAAGTGGAAATAGTAACAACAATATATATGAATGAAAGAAAGAATTAAAAGGGCTGTTTACTAAAAAGACACAGTCTCACAATTTCTCGCTGACATATCACCTAATTAGTCGCAAAAGAAGTTTGCTTATTTTCTGTTTCTGTAGTAGGACTAGCAATGCATTCTCAGTGTCTTCTAATAAAAGAGTCCACTCTCCATTGAATGGAGGGTATTTCAATAAACGACAAATATATCCATGATGTGATGTTACTTGTACGCATAGTTCGACCTTGTGTGCGCACCGATGAAGAGTCCCAGTTTAGGACGAAACAGCTGTCCAGTGCTCTCTAGTTCTCAATGATCTTTAACTGATTTTGGTTCACGACGAAATATAAACTGAAATTGATCCAAATTCCTACAAAAATAAAAAATCTAGATGTCAATCTCCAGCTCATTGACGGCTACTGGATGGATATCCTGAAGTTCCTTTCACAAGTCGCGGATAGCCAGGTCTATATAGTGTCAAGTAGAAGTGGGTGCTCATCGAAGGCATATCGTTGAGGGTAGCGTTATAATACTAATCAGCAGAGATCGAAATTCACGGGCCATTGAATTCTGTCCCAGGTGACTCAATGGTCAACGAGATTTACTTCATAACGTGGAGGTCCCGAGTCCGATCCCGTTGTGATCGTAGGAGCTCACTGTTGAAGAGCCCCAAACTAGGACAGAAAAGCTGTCCACTGTCCTATTGCTTTAAATGGTCCTTAACTGGCCTTGTTTCATACCTGAATCTGTACTGAACTTATATTATTATTGTGCAGGTTAATTTTAGCGTACATATCACATAGGGCTTCATGTTAGAGTTTTGAAGTTTCAGTAGCAGCGGTGTTTCTTTACGAGGTGGGCTTGCTAGCCCCACACCCAACCTTCCTCCTCTACCGGCCTTTCTACCGGAAAACTGAGGTAAAGGAGTTCGTCAACCGAGGGTCGAACCCTGGACCACTTGCTTTGTTGGCCATTATTAGCGATTGAGATGTACTTGACACATAATGAGCCAAATGTCTGCGAATAGTGAGCTTTATGCTCTCCAGCAGTCAGCTCACTTACTCGTCATTCACCGTACACACACACACTGACTGTAGGCTATAAGAGATGAACAACCGCTTATATCATAGTGTTTGGCTTCAATGAATCTTGATGAGTGGAATGAATTTGTAAAAAAAAAAGAGAGAAGTACATGATGCAATGGCTCATACTTATGTATTTTAAGCAACATTAGTGTGTTTAATTTAAGTCAAATAGAAATAAAGGAGAGAAACCACCATCTCTACTTTCATGTTTATCCATTTTAGGGCAGAAATGCAAGTTGACAGGAGTACACGACAATTAAAACAGTATTATTGCACCCACTGAGTTAATCAGTCAGCCAGCAAGCCATTCATGCTCTATGCATGTACACATACGCACATTGCTGAAGTAATGAGCAATGTTTATGTGATGATGACAGTTGTTTCACTCATTGAGGTCAATACACGACAGTATTCCTGAGAAAAAAATCTGTTTATATTTATATTCTGGCTGTGAAGAAAACAAAAATAAACGTGCTTGCAAATTTTTAAGCTCACTAACTCCTATCGTTCTTATCTAAAATGGCAGTATATTTTTGTAATGGATAATTAGGCAGACAAACATAGAAAAAAAATACAGTGAAATGAAGACAAAAAAGAAACATTCTTTTTTCAGTATTTATGTTCCGATTGTGTTTTTGGGTGTTTCTGTTGAAGTGATTCACATGCGGTTATTGTTTATGTTTGTCCTAATCATCTCACAGTCTTCTCCTTCTAAACTCTTCTAATTTTCTTTTTATATTTTTCTGTATTCCTAAAATCCTGCAATGCCTGTGGTAATCTTCACTGGTCCTATCACAACTAATCAAACTAACAATGAAGCTCCTCGACGATTGGCGCCGAATCGTGGACGTAGTCCAGGTATAGCCTGTGAAGCTTCCGACGCTTCAATGGAAGCATTAGATCAAGAACAAGATATTCTCTTGGATGCCTGTTTACGTGCCAGTACACCATCCATTAATTCGCATGGTGCTATGGGTAGACGTGCTCCACCCAAAGATCGTAGAAGACCTTCAGATCGATCGAGATTTTCAGGTATGTCATGGTGTAAATTTCATAGTAGGCATGTACTGCATATCTTAATAGATTATATTTGCAGACTATACTTTGAGCTGTTATATGAACCTATTGCTTATGGGTTTAAATATATCACCCTAACAGTCTGTTAAAATCTCATTATCGTGGGATAGTGAAAGCGAATCGAGTGCTCAGAGTAATGTATCCTCGCTACCTTGTTTGTGTATTACATTGAACGTTCATTGCTTACTGTAGACAGAGTGTCGTTTCAACGTGATAAAGTACTGCATTTCAGCCGACAGTAAATGACTTTCAACCTATTTTCTTTTTCTAGTCATAAGTAAATGTAGAATTATAAGGCATAATAATAAATATGAAAGGAAAAAAAGTAAGGACGACTACCAAGCATCACCGAAAATCTCAAGGAAAATTTTATTCACAAAATCAACAGTAACACTAAGTGTAACCGAAAACTTGCACTAAAACAGTTTTGGTTCCATAGAAATCAAGGGCGTCAGATGAGATCAGAAGAGTACTCAACTAATCAGCAGATCCCACAACAGAGTATTCTTCAAAACGTCTAACTGTGTTATGCACTACATACATTGAGCACACTCCTCAAAGAAATTAAGGTCAGGAGAAATTAACACTGCAGAGCATGAAAATGTGTCGGCTATAGAATCAAGCCACAAGATTGATTTTGCTTATATGGAAATCATTCAGAGAAAAATTCTAAAAATCATCCAATCCAAATTGTCTAAATAGGGGTGATAGATTGTGACAGAATTTAACGTGGTCAAATCATCTCGCTGGCGAAATGATATAGTCAACTGAAATATGATGAACACTTTTCATTGGGCAAACATATCCTGATTTTATAATTCACACGCTTATTAAACCCAACAATCTGCAGCCTCTAGCGATGTCTTAACCAATTCATTCACTTAAGAAGGCAGGATTGCCATATACAGAGCAGCTGTGATTAGGTTTATATATATATATATATATATATATTCAAGTATTGGTTTTGTAGGGATTTTGTTTGATTGGTTGGAAGATTTCATCATGAGCTGACATCAGTTAGAGAACCATTGGAAAACCTGGGAGTACTGGACAGCTGTTTCGTCCTAGTTTGGGACTCTTCATCAGTACGCACCCACCCGGGATTCGAACCCAGGACCTTCTGGTTACAAGGCGAGCTCGTAGACCACTAAGCCACTGGGACCCGATCCAATGACCAGCTCATGAATTCTAACTTCTACCAATTCACGTCACGGCGCGACCAATACTTCAAAATTGATCTGATGCTCACTAGCGACTGGCTCTATACCTGGGGTTCTAGTGGGAAGTCGTGTTTAGTAGGGTACAGCAGGTCGAAGATGAGGACAGTTACTCATCGAAGAACGCATTGTGAAGTGGTCGCGCTATGTCGTGAACTGGCAGAAGGTGGAATTCACCAGCTGGCCATTGGATCGGGTCCCAGTGGCTTAGTGGTCTACGAGCTCGCCTTGTAACCAGAAGGTCCTGGGTTCGAATCCCGGTGGGTGCATATGGATGAAGAGTCTCAGACTAGGATGAAACAGCTGCCCAGTACTTCCAGGTTTTCCAATGGTTCTCTAACTGATGTCAGCTCATGGTGCAATCTTCCAGCTAATATATATATATATTATAAGATTTTGTAAACTCTGGCTCCTATTACCTTGATGAAACCATTAGCAACATTAAAACAGTGAAAGGTCAGTAAGTACACCGTCGTTATGCTCTTCATTCATTGGGAAATTCAGAATTATATATAATAGGGCACACTGTAGTGTGGTTAGATATTTCAACCTCCTCATTGCCCGGTATTGTTCCATGTGACCCGTGTTTATCATGTGTTTTCAGTCATCATTAGCTTTTTTCCCGTGAGAACATAGATATATATATGATTGAAATACGTGAAGATCACGTGGTGTAACTCGAAAATTATTACTAAAGTAGAACTCACGAGAAACAAAATCAACCTTAAGATATATGCGTGTATTCGTCAACAGATGATTTTAAATTCTAAGTGCACTCTGATAGAAACTGGTTTGATCGGTTGTGTAATGTGATGCAAAACATTATTGTGTACTGTGATGTATGTAATCCAGTTTTTCTTATTAGATATTAGATGAAATCATTTATTTGCTAAGTTTTTCACAATTAATTTCTTTTATATAAATATTACTAAAACAAGACTCAGTAACATTGTATGATGAATTGAATGTATTCAATCGTGTTTCGTCTGTATTCTCTAAACCTTGCCACATTACACAAGAGGTGGTCGAAGTGGTCTAGTGGATAAGGCTTTGGCATTTGAAACGATGGGTAGTAGATGATTGGAGGAAATCAGTAGGAAGCTTTGGACCTAGGTTTCGTGCTAGTTGGCACTCATCAGTCAACAAGGCGTATCTGCAACCTTGAAGGAATTCATGTCCCTTCTGAGATTCGAACCAAACCACACTAGTAACTGACTAGTCTCCAATCAAAGTATCCAGCACAGTCAACCACGAGCCTGGATAGCTCAGTGGTAACGTCTCTAACTGCAACACTAGGTGACTTGGGTTCGAATCTCAGAAGGGACATGAGTTCCTTCAAGGTTGCAGATACGCCTTGCTGACTGATGAGTGCCAACTAGCACGAAACCTAGGTCCAAGACTTCCTGCTGATCCCCTCCAAGTATCTAATATCAACTATTCATAGTGCACCGTGATGGTGAGCCACCTAGAATGCCGGCCACATTGCAAACTTGACTGATAGAATTCAGTTTGCACCAAAGATAGGACTAGACACACTACACCAGTCACTGACTAGTGTCTAATCAAAGAAACGATGGGAACTTGGTTCGATTCTCAGAGGCAACACCATCACTCACTTGGGACTGTTGGTACACTCATCGGATGACTTACAAATAGGCCGAAATGCGCATTGCAAATTCCACTGCTAGTCACCATCCACCAAATTTACTTCAAGTTAATCGCAAAAAATCATCGAAGCGTCCGTCCTCCGAGCTGACATGTCGACAGAGACCGAACATTTATTTAGGTCGAATCAGTCAACGGGAAGATCAGAATTGGCTGAAAAACGAATACACACGCATCGATGAAAATTTCTGTACACTTAGCTACTCTTACACTATGTTGTGAAATGCAAATGATTTGATACATTCCACTGGTAAAATCGACACAAAATAAACCTTTTCATATCTATACATCAGCATATATGCGAATGAAAAATAACAAAGGTCTTGACTTAATCAGGGGAAAAAGTACGAATTTTTGTAAACGAACACACAAATCATAATAAATGAAATCGATTAGAAAAACAAAACGAGCTAATAATTAGATAAATAATGATAATGAGGTGTGATTACAACTCATGATAGTAGTGAGCCTGATATAAGGGGGAAAGGGGATGGCTAAGATAGGACTGAGATAAGCTGGTGAAATAGAGTGCTACATCCAGAAGTGCAGATAGATTAAGGTATCTTTGTTCAGGTGATTTTACTGTTCATGTCATGTATACATGCTGTCGACTGATGTTAGAAACCACACATACATAACACACATAGAGTTACCAGTAGATTGATACTCCGTGGTTTTGAAGGAGGTGTACAGAAAGCCTATCCTACTATTAAAGGCATGTCACTCGAACTCGTGCATGTTATATGGTGTTGTCATTTAAAGTGACAACAATCAGTAGTTCCCGTCCGAAAGACATACTGAGTGTAGACTTCGATGTCTCAAGGACTGATTTGCTATCAGAAAAAGGTCCTCTTGACTCTCAGTACACAGATGATATTGTCAGTTTAATTAATAAAATTCAGAATCTTCTAAAGTTTGGTAAATAAAAAAATATATGAACACGTTTGAAAGGCGGTTCTCTTCTGTAAATGCAGGATAATGCTTCAAGATTGCTTTACACCATCTCTGAAACTTTTAATTAATCCACACTCAAATATCCTCTCAACTAATTCCTTCATTACATTACTTTTCTCTAGTTTTTAATGCAATTTTCCGAAGAGTGGAAACTCTGGAACACAGAGACTTTTGTGTAATGATATGTAGTCATAAATCAGCCAATTTGATCGACGTTAAATAAACACTGGATGTTACAAGTTTGATCACTAACTGACATCACTTAGAGGACCTCTGGGAAGCCAGGAAGTACTGGACAGCCGTTTCGTCCTATATCGGGACTCTTCAGGGTACGTACCCACCAAGGCTCAAACCCCAGTACCTTCCGGTTACAAGGCAGGCTCGTAGACCACTCACCCACTGGAACCTGATACAATGGCCCATGAATTCCGACTTCTGCAAATTCGTGATTTTAACGCGACCACTAGCCAGTGTTATTGGCGAGAATTTGTCCTCCCGCCCGATATGGTGGACCCAACTGGTTACTATTCCTCACTAAAACTCCAGTCACTTCGTCATGTAGCTGACAATTAAACTAGGACGAAACAGCTGTCCAGTACTATTCGGTTTTCCAACTGATGTCACATTGTGATAGAACTTGAAACACATGAAATCCCTTCAAACTAGTTCTTGAAAACACTGGACGGTGAAGAGTTTATTAGTAGTAGCGTGCTAAGACTAGCGCACGTCAGAGAGCTGAACAGCTTTTAAAGTCACTTACACATCAGGGGAAGTAGCTTTTCAGTGAGTGTCTATAAGATTTTTATTCACCCAAAACTGTGGAATTATGCTACCTTGGACTGCTTAGTAGGAACATGTTAATTGGTGGATGGTGACTAGCAGTGGAATCCAGGAAAACGCGCATTTTGTCCTATTTGGGACTCGTCATCTGGATGTACCTGCACTTCTCAGTGAGTGATGATGTTCCCACCGAGGCTCGAACCCAGTGCCCTACAACACTTGGTCTAATTTGGCAAATATTATGTCTATATGCATATTATCAACAGATACATGTTACCTGTCACTTACCCGAATTTTTCTTTTTGTTCAATGTTTTTTTCTTTTCAGTTTTCCAGTGCGTCTTCTGTTATTTCTTTTTTCTATCAGTTTATCTGTTTTAATTTTTCTCTATATAAGAAGCATAATTCACTTTATGCACATTCTACTTTTGGCTGAGTAAACTGAACGCTTTCTGCTGAATCTTTGTGTATGTGTTTGTCTGTGTGTGTGTGTGTGTTGAAATGGTTCCGTTTTTACAACAAAACATTCAAAAATGTCAGGTTATCTGAATGAAATAACTCACTCAGTTAAATCAATTTTTCGAGTTGTCTTTCAGTTCAGGAATACTCATCTTCTCATACCACTTTCCTTCGTGTCTTGCTTAATTTCCTCACGTTGCATGCATTGCGGCACTGTGGTTGTTTTAGGAAAAAGAACACACATGTTCATTTCTAGATGCTTGATGACAACATCTTATGCAGTTGA